GGCTTTACGGTAATAAAAGTTTTAGAAATTCAGGAATTCCAGAAATTCAGAAATTCAGAAATTCAGAAATTCAGGAAATCCAGAAATTCAGAAATTCAGGAGTTCCAGAAATTCAGAGGTTCAGAAATTCAGAAATTCAGAAATTTAGAATTTCAGAAATTCAGATATTCAGAATTTAAGAAATTTAGAAATTCAGAAATTCAGGAATTCCAGAAATTCTGAAATCCAGAAATTCAGAAATTCAGGAAATTCAGAAATTCAGAAATTTAGGAGTTCCAGAAATTCAGATGTTTAGAAATTCAGAAATTCAGAAATTCAGGAAATCCAGAAATTCAGAAATTCAGGAGTTGCAGAAATTCAGAGGTTCAGAAATTCAGAAATTCAGAAATTCAGGAGTTCCAGAAATTCAGAGGTTCAGAAATTCAGAAATTCAGAAATTTAGAATTTCAGAAATTCAGATATTCAGAAATTAAGAAATTTAGAAATTCAGAAATTCAGAAATTCGGAAATTTAGAAATTCAGAAATTCAGAAATTCAGTAATTCCAGAAATTCAGAAATTCAGGAGTTCCAGAAATTCAGAGGTTTAAAAATTCAGAAATTCAGAAATTTAGAATTTCAGAAATTCAGATATTCAGAATTTAAGAAATTTAGAAATTCAGAAATTCAGAAATTCAGAAATTCAGGAAATCCAGAAGTTCAGAAATTCAGAAATTCAGGAAATCCAGAAATTCAGAAATTCAGGAGTTCCAGAAATTCAGAGGTTTAGAAATTCAGAAATTCAGAAATTTAGAAATTCCGAAATTCAGAAATTCAGAAGTTCAGAAGTTCAGAAATTCAGAATTTCAGAAATTCAGAAAATCAGAAAATCGGAAATTTAGAAATTCAGAAAATCGAAAATTCAGGAATTCAGATATTCAGAAATTCAGAAAATCGGAAATTCAGAAATTGAGAAATTCAGAAATTCGGAAATTAAGATATTCCAGCTAATTACAACGATTCTCAGTACTTCGAAGTTCCGTGATTCTGAAAACCGAAAAAAATTCCACAAGTCCTAGAAATTTAAGAATTTCAGGAAATCCCAGAAAACTCAAGAATTGGGAAGATCTGAACAGATTTTTCTTTTCGGACTCTGAATTTCAAGCAAAAAGCAATTTTTTAAATTTTTTCAGCAAATGAATTTTCACAACGATTTTTCAAGATTTGGTGGAAATTTGAAAAAATGTTTTTTCTGAAAAAAAAATTCACATAAAATCTTGAAATTAATTTTCCAGATATCTTCTCAATGTGGCAGAAGACCACTCCCATTTCCAAGAAATCACATTCACCTATCTCCTAAAAGTGATGCAATGCGTTCTCGAAGAGCACCTTCTACTCGGAGAAAGTCGAATTCTTCAAACGAAACCAACAGTTGACTCGATTTTGGATGCCTGTGTGGAATATCAAAAAAGTGAGGGTGCCGATGATTTGGAAATAATCAAATGGATGCGAAGGCAACAGGATAAGCCACTAGTTGCGGAATTCGCCTATTGGTATATGATAGCCTATGATCAAGAGAATGGAAGGGAGGATGTCGGATAGCTGAGGGTCCAGGGAAACGCCAGGAATTCGATAATTTTCAAGTTTCAACTTTCCGTTTCGTTCACTTTACTGGTTTTTTAAAAATCCAATTTTCCAATTATTCCAAGAGATATAATGTATTTCCGATCGCTCTCGATTTAATTTTATTTTTAAATTTCTAAAATCTCGTCTACATTATTTTTTCTCAAAAATCTCAATTTTTTCAACTGTGATCACTTTTAAACCCAACAATTTATTTTTTTAAAATCTGAATTTTCTGAATTTTTTGAATTTTTTTTTTTTTTGAGATTAAATCTCTCCAATATATATTTTTTTTGAATCTACAAATCTAGAATCTAAAATTCCATATCTTCTGTACATTTCCAAAAAATAATACAAAAATTCCTGTTTCTTTTAGAATTGCCTCCGTATTTTGATCTCTATTTTCCGAATGATATCTTTTTGTCAATCACTGTAACTTGATCTTTTTTTCTTGAAAATGAAATAAATTATGGAAATGAAAACGTTTTTTAAGCAGTTGAGGATTCCGATTTCTCATGAATAGAAAATACAGACAGAAAAATTGACTATTTCGAACTTTCTAGGGTTTTCCAGAATTTTCGATATTCAGATTTCATTCTATCCACTCCAATTCAAATGCAATTACACTATAATCAAACTTATCTCTCGATCATTTTATTTAAAAAATAAGAATGTGAATAAAAATGTTGTTTTCCTTTTTTTGTAAAGATAATACCGTAAAACCTGTAATAGAAGGGCCCCATTAACTTTTAACTTTGAGCCAATTTATCTTAGTTCCTGTCAAAGATATAGAAAAGTTATCAACTGATAAATTGCTTGTCATCATATTATGAACATTTTATCAGTTGACAGGTTTTTGATATCCACAGGAACCTAGATAAATCGGCTCAAAGTGGAATGTTAGGGGGCCTTCTATTACAGGCTTTACGGTAATGAACGTTTTTAGAAATTCAGGAATTCCAGAAATTCAGAAATTCAGAAATTCAGGAAATCCAGAAATTCAGAAATTCAGGAAATCCAGAAATTCAGAGGTTCAGAAATTCAGAAATTCAGAAATTTAGAATTTCAGAAATTCAGATATTCTGTATTTAAGAAATTTAGAAATTCAGAAATTCAGAAATTCGGAAATTTAGAAATTCAGAAATCCAGAAATTCAGAAATTCAGGAATTCCAGAAATTCAGAGATTCAGAATTTCAGAAATTCAGAAATTTCAGAAATTCAGGAAATCCAGAAATTCAGAAATTCAGAAATTCAGAAATTCAGAAATTCCGAAATTCAGAAATTCAGAAATTCAGAAATTCAGTTTTGAAATATGAGAGATCACAAATTGATACCAACTCATCGAATAATTATCATTTGTTTTCATTTGTGGTAAGTAAAAATCTTTCCAACTCAAGAATCGTGGAAAATTCGCTCTACTGAGAAATCGATGAATTCCGAATAGAGCCCATTTTCAGAATCGGATTTTGAAAATCATAAATTTTGGAATTTTAGACGTTTCGTGTTCAAAATCAAAACATTAAAAGTCTCTAATTCGGTTCAGTTTTAAAAGGTAATGGTTTAAATTTGTCCAATTTTCTAAAATTTTCGATTTCCAGATCTCTCCGTTCAAATAAAATGCAATCACTCTTCGCTATAATCAAACTCATTTTTCTATCATTTTATCAAAAAAAAGTTCAATGAAAATATTGATTTTTCTTTGCTGTTTTTTTGGCACTATTTTTGAAGTCAATGGTAGCTCCGCCCCTTTTTCATGGAATTATCAATAGCCAATGCGTTCTATCTTCAAATTTAAGGTTATTTTCGGAAGTTATGGCCTAAAAGGATTCGTTTTTTGAAGTCAAAAATTTGGTTTAGGAGTGACGGAGTTGGAGAAATTCGCTTTATTGAGAGAGAAAAAAGAATCCGGTGTTTCGCAATGGAGCGCATTTGAAAATGTGAAAATATTTAGAAAAAAAAAGAAAAATCAGATCGAGAAATCGACTTCGAGGGGGGGGGGGGGTTGAGAAGCGTTGTTCCGTATTGTTCAACATAGAAAAAATGGGAAAAATGAGTAAATATTGATTTTTGAGGAATTTGGAAATGATTTTAGCATAGGGGGATGAGGAATTATTTTTGTCAAAATTCGAAAAAAATTGAAAAAAAAAAGTTAGGTGTAGCTGAGAAGTCCCTGGATTCGGTTGAGGAATTTCTCCATACGATTGCGGAATTGAACTCTGAAAAATGAAAAAAAAAATCTCATTTGTGCAATAGAGCGCATTTACCGTCCACGTCGATTTCCAGCTTCTGGAGCCACTTCCATGAGCTCGGTGAACGCCGACTCCAAAACGGCCCGCCCCTTTTCGTTGGATCGATTTGACAGTAGTCCGTTGACGTATTCATCGAAGAAGGACTGCAAAAATTATATAGTAATTGCGCTCTATTGATAAAGCCTTTTTTATCAATCGAGCGCATTTTAGAACTACAGTAACACTTTTTTTTTAAACTCACTCTTTCAAATGCGATAATCGCGTAGAGTGCCGAACACGATTCGGCGTAGATGCTGTTCTCACAGGTGTTGGAGAGGCACGTCTCGAAGACGGTCTGGAAATCAAAAATTTCAAATTTTAAGACTTTCAGAATTTTGGAATTTCAAAATTTCAGAATTTCGGAACTTCAGAATCTCAGAAATTTTGGAAAAATTAAGATTTTCGAAATTTCCGATTTTCAGATATACAGGTATTCAGAAGCTCAAAGTCACCGTATTTTCAGGATTTTAGAGTTTTCAGATTTTCGTAATCTCAAAATTTCAGATTTCCAAAATACAAGAATAATAGAACCCTAGAATCTCAGAATCTCAGAATCGCTGAACCTCAGAATCGCAGAATTTCAGAATCTCAGAATTTCAGAATTTCAGAATCTCAAAATTTCAGAATAATAGAATCTTAGAATCTCAGAATTTCAGAATTTCATAATTTCATAATTTCAAAATTTCAGAATCTCAGAATTTCAGAATCTCAGAATCTCGGAATTTCAATATTTCAGAATCTTAGAATATCATAATTTTTGGGACATCTTGAGCCGTTTTCATGGTTTTTTGAAACTTTTCGGTCTAAATTGGCTGAAAATGTCTTAATTTTTTCAAGATTTTCAGACATTTTCAGGGGCTGTTTTTAGCTTGTTTTCAGTCATTTTAAGACCATTTTTATTGGTTTTCGGATCATCTTTTTAGTGTTTTAAGCTATTTTGAGCATCTTACCGGAAGCATTTCCTTGAAGAGCATCGCCAAATTCTGCGTACACCGTCCCTTGTTCTGGTCGACACCAAAATGAAGGACCACCTCAGTCAGCGATTCCAGAGAAGTCGATGTGATTTCCATTCCAAATTGGCCAGTCATACCGAGCTGCAAAATTTCGGATTTTTAAAAATTTCGGAACTTCAGAATCTCGAAATTTCAGACTTTCAAAACTTTAAGAACTCAGAATTTCAGAATTCCATATTTTCCGAATTTTAGAATTCCAGGATTTTAGATTTTTAAACTTTCACAATTCCACATTTTTCGAATTTTCAAAATTCCAGAATTTCAGATTTCTAGAATTTTAGATTTTTAGAATTCCAGAAATTCGATATTAAAAATTTGCAGAATTGCTGATTTTTAGACTTTTGAAGTTTTAAAACATCAAAATTTCAGAATTCCATATTTTCGAAATTTCAGAGTTTCAGATTTTTAAAATTTCAGAATTCCAGAATCTTAGATTTTTAGAATTTCAGAATTTCGACTTTTCACATTTTTTTTTGATTTTGAGAATTTTAGAATTTCCGTATTTTCAGAATTTTAGAATTCCAAAATTTCAGAGTTTCAAAATATTAAAAATTCCAGATTTTCAGACTTTTCGAATCTCAG